GATTTGTGTTCCATATCGTCATTCTAGAAGTATCTTCCTAATCGTAGGAAATAAAGTGTCAACTAGTATATTTTTTGTTTATTATAGAAGATATAGTTTATACTTCCGAAAAACATGGTAATGATGAAACAGGTGATGGCAGCGAAACCAAGCCGTTCAAAACTGTATTACAAGTAAATATGATTTCAGAAAATGACAAACAAAAGACACTAATAATATCTCTGTTAAATACTAGTGATAATTCAACATCGTAGATATTAACTTTCGATTCTTGAAACTTCAAATTTTCTTAATTATAATGAAAAACACGTACTCAATTGTATTCTTTTAGGTATTGAGAATGATGCTAGGAGATACAGATGGAAAAACTATTTTTGTCGATTCAAAAGATGGTGCTAATGTAAATAACCACAAAGAATTTCTTTCAACACTGACGAGGAACATTGACAGTGATTAATGCCAATCTTGCTCATCTTCTGTCAATTGATAGGGTCTATAGTAATGAGAAAAAGACCATTCAAGTCTGAAATCTTTAGCGCAACTAGGCAATGATCAGATGTATTTAAGAGAAAATTTCACGTCTAAACAATGCTTTGTCGATGAGATATGAAAAACACAAAAAAATGAGATGTACAACATAATGTGTTACCTATGAAGAAACTTAAATCGTCTTTATCTCAGCAAGGATGCACGATCAGTCCAAATCCTTTTTTGATCTTTTTCTCATCACTCTAGACCCTGCCAATTGACAGAAGATGAGCAAGATTGGTGTTAATCACCCGAAAATGTTGCCTTGTAAACTGATGTGCTTTGAGGCAATAAAGTTTTGTATTTTTTAATTAAGGAACGTTTTCAACCTATATCAAAATCACAATTAAAAAAAGTGAGAGGAATATATGATGATGAAATGAGAAAAGAAGAAAAATCCACATTACGTGAAGTATGTACATCAACTTGTCTTCAATTCAGTAAGCGTGAGTGTATATTTTGAGTATTATAGTTATTAGATTTGAATTTTATATGAACTCACCCACAATTTTAGATTAAATTCTCATGTTCTTTCGCACACTATGTACATGGACATTGTCTGAAATCATATTTCTTGTTTATTCTAGCAAGAAGATGCCGAACGTCGTGAAAGGAATTTGGAATATGCAAAAAATGTTGTTATTACAGAAGATACAAAATTACCACAAGCAAAAGTTGTATGTATTATGTTATATAAAATTGTTGTGAAATTAAAAGTGAATGATATACTTTTATTGCGTCCATACGACTGAAAACCGTTTAATAACATCTGTTCATTTTGATCCATGTTAAATGTATGATGCATGGATTTCTTTTTACAGGTGAAAATCAGACAGGTACAAAATCATCACGACAAACGTGTAAAAGTGTTTGGTTGGGTTCATCGTATTCGTCGACAAGGTATAATATTGAAATGAATAAAGTTCTTTTTATATGATTCTTATTTAAATCTCTTTCTTTAATATGACTAAAGATGTTTTTATATTTAGGAAAAAATTTAATGTTTATAGTTTTACGCGATGGTACTGGCTTTTTACAATGTGTTTTAGATCACATGCTTGTAAGATTCGATCTTTTCATATTTATTTTATATCAATTTAATTGTTCGATTTTATTTTGATTTTTTAATTCTAATATATAGTGTCGAACTTATGATGCATTAATATTATCGACAGAAGCAACTGTTTCAATCTGTGGCATTGTTAATAGTGTACCAGAAGGCAAAAGTGCACCAGGAAATCAAGAAATGATAGCTGATTATTGGGAAGTTATTGGACATTCACCATCTGGTG